TTACACTGTAAGCCACAGCCATTAGTAAACCGACAGTGGTGCTGAAAAGACACGAGTGCACAGGAGCCAATAACCAAACAATAATTTGGAAAGCACGCATAATAATAAACTGGCAGCTCTACAACCTGTTTGTTATATGAATATTGTTATAATGCAATATACCAAAAATATTGGTAGTTCACTTTTTCATTTTTTGAAGCTCAAAATTCAACATTCTGTAAAAAGTTTAATTAAGAGATGATGACGTCAGCTCGTGACTTTAATTCTAAATGTATAATGTGTAGAAGGAAATCAAAACCCCCACTCGTTAAGGATGTGTGGTTATAATTGTGTGACTCTACAGACTCAGAGATGTTGTTTTGAGCATGTTCTGAGTCTCATCCACTGAATTCACCTGGTCACGTTTCATCTCCGGCTTCTCCGCGTCGCATCTACACTGTTTGTCCATGTGAAGTGAAAGAGTTTCAACAGAGACGTCAGACTGTCTGTAGGCTGGTTCATGGTCAGTCTGATGTTGATCTGAAATACAGACTCTCATTTTATGACAGAAACATTAGACACCTTTACCCCCGACTAACTCAGGCCTGAGACCAATGTTACCAATGGTAACAGTCAATGACACCTGTGCTGACCAGCAGCCCCCAAACAACAAGAAACAGGAAATCATAGCTCATAGTTTGTGGTTTGCTAACAACAGAGAGCAGCCAAATCAAAATCTGATTTTTTTTTTATTGTTGCTGAATTTTCAAAGTAAAACGTCCTGTAATTCTTCCAAAAGACAAACATGTTCTGCTGAGGGGTTGGATGCTGTTCCTCTGTGGGACGTTTTTTATTTTTCTAATACTTTTATTTTCACTGTATGTAGAAATAATTCACTGAGATCACCTTTAACCTTTAACCTCAAACAGATCTGAAACAGATTCAGGTTCAAACCAGGTCACGCTCTCACTCCAGGCCCTGACGCTCTGACTCACTGCTCCTCTCTTCATCTGTTCTCTTAACCGTAGACACCGTACTGTACCACACCGTACTGTACCACACTGTACTGTACCACACCACATTACATTACACTGTACCACACTGTACTGTACCACACCACATTACACTGTACCACACCATTGTAAACCGACAGTGGTGCTGAAAAGACACGAGTGCACAGGAGCAATAACCAAACAATAATTTGGAAGCACCATAATAATAAACTGCAGCTCTACAACCTGTTTGTTATATGAATATTGTTATAATGCAATATACCAAAAATATTGGTAGTTCACTTTTTAATCTTTTGAGCTCAAAATTCAACATTCTGTAAAAAGTTTAATTAAGAGATGATGACGTCAGCTCGGCGACTTTATTCTAAATGTATAATGTGTAGAGGAAATCAAACCTCCACTCATTTAAGGATGTGTGGTTATAATTGTGTGACTCTACAGACTCAGCAGATGTTGTTTGAGCATGTTCTGAGTCTCATCCACTGAATTCACCTGGTCACGTTTCATCTCCGGCTTCTCCCGGTCGTCATCTACACTGTGTCCATGTGAAGTGAAAGAGTTTCACAGAGACGTCAGACTGGTCTGTAGAGCTGGTTCATGGTCAGTCTGATGTTGATCTGAAATACAGACTCTCATTTTATGACAGAAACATTAGACACCTTACCCCCCGACTAACTCAGGCCTGAGACCAATGTTACCATGGTAACAGTCAATGACACCTGTGCTGACCAGCAGCCCCCAACAACAAGAAACAGGAAATCATAGCTCATAGTTTGTGGTTTGCTAACACAGAGAGCAGCCAAATCAAATCTGATTTTTCTTTTTATTGTTGCTGAATTTTCAAAGTAAAACGTCCTGTAACTTGAATTCTTCCAAAAGACAAACATGTTCTGCTGAGGGGTTGGATGCTGTTCCTCTGTGGGACGTTTTTTATTTTCTATTTGGAAAAAAGTCTTAATTTACCCAGAATTCATTGTGCCAAAGATGAGGCTTGTGCAACAGATGAACTCAGACGTCCATCTGGAGCCAGACAGACTCCGACTGTGTCTCAGATAAAACAGTCAGACTTCAGATCGACTGAGTCTGAACGAAGAGTGAAACAATAAAAGAAAAATAATCGCTGTGTTCTCTAGAAACTCTTTCCCTTCTCATTACTCACATTATGAGCCATGTTTTCCTGGTTTTGTTGTTGTGTGATGAGGTGTGGGGCTCAGCGCAGGTGTTACTGACTGATTGGCATTAGACTGATCTATGAGCAGTTCAGACACTACAGAGATCTGTGTGAAACCCTCTCCTGATGTTTGTTGAGCTGGGTTGTTAGAGAACGTCACATCTGCCACAAGAGGCTGTAAATCTGAGCTCGGAGACTGAGCGTGTGCAGAGCGAACGCAGCCTTCAGTTTACAGGAAAGAAGACAAATGCAAAACCCCCAAAATATAAACTGTAGTATCTGACGTATGGAAGATGGAACTGAACCTCTTCTAGCACCTCCGCTCAGTTGCTGTGGACGGTGAACAGTGAACGCACCACGCCGGCGGCTGCAGCCTTTTGTTGTGGTGAAACTCTTGACGAAGCATTTGTTTTCATTCACGGTCATTGATGTTGAAAGAGCTGCTCTACACAGTGACTTCAGTAGATGATGACTGCACAACACGGGATTCACAGAGAGCACAGCTGTGTCAAACACTGATGTAAATACATGTTTTAGTCATGTGACCCAGTGGTGAGGGAGAGGACACTGCTCCTCAGTGGTTCATGACTGGTATTTTATTTATAGCCCGGATCATAGGGGATGTATGATGAATGATAATGTAGAATATTTACAGACAGTAGCTGATCAAGTTTAAACTCTGAGCTTCATTAGAGATAACACATGTACAGCTGCAACAATATAATGGCACAAATTCACCTCAGAATATATGAGATAAGCTCTCGAGTCGTTCTCGGTGTCATTCTTGGCTGACACGAAATTCCCGGTTGCGTTCACTGTCCTCAGCAATCCGGGAGAAAACGTGTCATTGAGGAAAAACACCCGAAACAAAGCAAACCTCAGTCATCACACAGCAATATGCTGCTTCTCTTTATCACTTTTAATTTCACTAACAACAAACTGCAGATCTACCTTGAATGGACCAGTGGTGAGCAGTTAGCACTTAGCACTTAGCACTAGTGTTTATGAATGGGGGGGGTGCACTACATATAAGCTACAAAGGATTTGGTTTGTCCATGTGGTTCAGTCAGCTGGGACATGTACTAATACTGTAGATACTTTTATACTGTTAACAGTGTTTTACTGATGAAATGAAATTTATTGTTTTGTTTTTTTCTTAAAGGAAAAATAAAGTTTTCTGCTGAAATAAAAAAACAAAGGGAGTCGTCTTCAGTTGAAAAGTCAGGATATAAAACAGGATCTGTGAGAGGAAGGAAGGAGCACGTCTGCTGAGGATGTCCTGTGCGTTGTGGGATGGAAACGGACCCCATAACCAGCTGGAGCGCAGAATCACAGCTGCATTATGGGTTCCGTTACAATCCCACCCACCAAAACAAGGTTCAGGTCCGGGCTCAGGTCCGGGCTCAGGTCCGGGCTCAGGTCCGGGCTCAGGTCCGGGCTCAGGTCTGGTCTGGACAGCGCAGCTAAAAAGATGAAAAATATGGTTATTAGGAAAAAATGTAAAAATGTTTTACAGCTGGTTCTTTAACTGAACTTCATGTTGCATTTGATAAAAATGTGAAGGAAAGAAAACAAGTGTTAGTTTCCATCCAGTGAATCACAGTATGTCTGAAACATCCTTAAACTTTTATTTTGAAACCAAACACTGAGACAAACTGTTGTGGCCATACTGAGCTTTAGTCGTCAGTTCATTAGAGGAACAGTTTGTTAAAATCCCTGCACATCTCTAAATGTAGAAGTGACGAGGCTGTCAACATTTCTCTCATCATAAACCACAGTTCAGATAATCAGGTTGTTTGTAATGAAAAAGCAGCAGAAAGTTCAGATTAATGATTATATGGCACATGACACATCATACGTCCTCTGGTGCGACAATACGATCTAATTTTACACAAGTGATTCAAACAGTGCAGTGAAACCTCGGCTCAGTCGGCTGATGGTTGGATAGAAAATGTTTCTGAGTGACAGTATTTTACTTTGAGCTGCTCAGTGAAACTGGACGTGACAAATAACTGAAGGACTCGAGTAAAATATCCTGTCACTTTCAGTCTTTCAGTTCAGATTATAAATGATTTGCATGTTTTATCTTTCTATCATTTTTACTCCATTTTACAGCAGCTGCAGAAACAGAATCTGAGGACTCAGTGAAACATAAAACAAGGCGACCATTAAAAATCATCCATCCAATCAGCTGCAGCTGCAGGTTTCAAACTGACAAAAGTGACAGTGTCTCAGAGTCTGATCGAGGAAAATAATTCAAACCGCCAGCTACAGTTACCGAACAAAAAAAGATTCTTATGATCAAACTTGTTTGAATATTGTAAAAAGTAAAACTCTTTTTATTGCTTATCTCTTATTTTAAAGATGAGTGAATGTGTTGCTGTTTAGATCAGGTTGAACCAGACCTCTGGCACTGAAGCTGTAAACAAGTGTTTTCTTGTTGGTTCTCAACAGATTTTAAAAATTTTGTGTCTAAGAAACAAAGAATATTTAGAAAAGAGATCAGATTAATCTTAAGGACTTTTTACACATTAAAAATGAACTGTAAAAGCAGATTCTACGAGGCTAACGATCTTAAATCGGATCATTGAACCCGGTTCGGCAGCATGAGGAGGAGCGGCAGTGAAAAGACAGAAACACTTCACAGCTTCCTCACCACGCAGGAATCTGAAGGAGGAATGAAAAAACAAACTTTGTGTTTCTGGAGAAAAACATTTTTAAAATCGGCCTGAGGCTCGACATGTCAGCTGAGACTGTCTGAGCAGGGACC